TTTTCTTTTTGCAATTAGCCCCACCACTATGTTTTTCCCTTTGTCCAACGAAAATCCTCTTATGCTACAGTGTCATTCCTATAAGTGGTTATCAACTTGAACATTAGACATTTCCTTCCTCCTTCTCCTACATGACACCATTTGTCACAAGGATTTGGGATCCAGCAGCAAGAGAGACTTTTAAAGAATCCTTCCCACTGCAGGGAGCATGTGCTGAGACAGGACTTTGGAAATTCAATTAATGCTTCCATGAACACAAGTAATGTGTGAACGTGCCTGTGGCTGTGTACTTCCCTATGAAACCTTAGAACTAGGATTAAAGTGACTTTCAGGTCAGGTGGGAGGATTGCACTAAAAAAGAAATGCTTTATTTTTCCCTTAAAATTTTAAACTCTTCATTTCAACTGTGTTGACTTTGTGTTTGCAAAAACAGGAATGCTCATGGAAACAGTATTCAAAATATTTTTAAATACTCGGGAAAAGCAAATTTTGAAGTCCTACAAAAAATATTTGCAGTGGAAATCTCATTCCCCTCACCCAGTCAGGAAACAGAAATACACCATATACACTGTACAGCCATTACAGCTGTTTGAAGTGTGCCAAGAACTACTCATAAATTAACTACAGACATTGAATTTTGTAAATAAGTTTGATTAATAACTAATCAAAATCTTCTCAACGGCAATCCAGCTGAAAAATATGGAAACGTTTGTTGGAAAATATGGTGTTACAAACTGCATCTCTAGCTTGACTTCCCAGTTTTCTGAACCACTGCCTTACATTCTGCCAAACGTGTCCCGGATGACTGGTAAGAAAAACTTTTGCTTTATTTTTCCTCCCTCTTGCTTGTCATATTGCTAGCTGAGTTTTTCATGATGGTGCTGTCAGAATGGAATCTGTGGGACTATGTGGAACTACACCAGATACACATCCATGGGTACAACCCAACATCAGCACACAGTCCTCACCTTGGTTTCTTGCAACATCCCCTTTTTGCACCTATGCTTGAAGTCTATGTGCTTGCCTAAATTTTGCTCTATCTGAAGTGTCACTTAGTGTGGTGCAGACCTGTGACTGATGTTAAGCTGTAAACCTCCTTTTCCGTAGAAGTGCTTTCCTGAATATGAGATTAAGCACAAACATACTGAGCAGACAAACATCTTCAAAATCTTTTTTTTTTTGTTTCTAATTTACTACAGTTATAATTATCATAGTGCTGTGTTTTCTAATACTGGTGATACGATCAACCATATACTGAAGAAAAAAAAAATAAAGAAAAAAACCCCACACCACCACCACCAACAGTAACTACAAAAACATATAATTTGGTTGATATTAAACACTAGGCGAGTGAAAACCAAAGGCAGGAGGATATCGGCATTTGGGATGCCACTTGAGCATAATATCAAGCTTGTTTTCATTTTTCCAACCATGGGTGGAAGAAATCCAAGCAGAAAAAGATACCAATGACAGATTTCTGATATATGCATGCAAACGTCAAACATACGCTTTGAAATATTTACTCATCTAAATCCCACTGATACCAGTTTGATGACAATGAATTTTGCATTAGGGGTTGAGTTCCTCTTCAGAAGCATCACTCTCCTGGTTTGTAAGGAGAAATTAGCATTACTCGTGCCAGCAATTAATGACACCTAAGTAAAGAAGGCTAATGGAAAATTACCATCTGAATTGTTCTGAAATCCCCAAACTTTCCAAGTGCAAAAGCTTTCTTCCTTCCCCATATAAGCAGTATTTTCTGTGATAGCGTAGGTTTATTTTAAAAATTATTTACAGGCTGAAAGTTCAGCACTGGTATTAGCCTTCATTTTGAGTTGTATTCTGGTGAAAAAAGTTAAGTCAGTTGCTGGGCTAAAAATGTGTTGTCTCAGAACCAGATAACATTTCACAAACATAGTTTTTGTCAATCAAGAATATTAATTTTCAAAAGTAAGGAATGCCACAGGCAAAACTGAGAGGAAAAGAATAGATGGTAAAACATGGAAGTGCTTCTGAAAAAAAAAAAATGATTTATTAAATTATAAAGACACGAGACTACCATTGCTCAATTGAGAATGACAACTCTGGCTACAAAAGCATTTTGACTCAGTGGCAAAGAGGAGGAAAAAAAAAGAAATACAGTAATAAATAACAAATCCAGGACAGCAAGCAATACACACTACAAAGTGTGGAAAATTGATAGAGAAAGCCAAAGATGTTCACCTGATCAGGCTGGCAATAAAAATAAGCATAATAAGAGGAAAAGCAAACATAATGTAGAATGAGATGGCAGAGGTTAGAGTATGTAAAAAGTGCTGAAATAGAAAAATAAATCATTCTCTTCTGTATTTTAAAGACCCAGAAAGATGTAATACTTTCCAATGGATTTGTAACTCAGAACATCTCTTATAGAGGAACATTTTACCCCTAGATTGTCTGCACCCCTTCTGTAAAAGGAGAAATTTAAATGCCCACAAGCAAATATATATATATGTTTAGGAACAAGGGTGTGGGTTGCAGACAGCAATGTAGGAGTTACATATTCTTGTGCCACTCTGGAAGGAATTGACACTAGCAGGAACCGAGGGGTTGCTATAGCCAGACAGCTCAGCACAAGCCCTAAACCTGATTTTGTAGCAAATACGGGGAATATAGGAGTGAATATTACAAGGTAGATAGATTAGGACAAGGACAGTGTGAAGCCACCAAAGCAGGATGTGCAATGGGGATGCCAAGCTCCCTCCAAAGGCAAACATGACTCCTCTCAGGAAGGTAAGCTGAAGTAGGGCCCCTGTCTCCTGCTTGGTGCTGGGGGCAGGGGCCTCATGGTGGCCCAGAGAACATTGGGACTGGGGAATTCCTGCCAGGCCTACACTGGTGGGTAACAGACAGGTTCCCTCTTCTGCAAATGTCACAAACCAAGTGTCGTCCTGTTACCGGCTAGTCATTTTACTGCATTTCTAGAGCCCACAAACCCACTTGTACCTCAAGTGGGATACCTGCACACCCAAGTCCAGCTAACAGGTTTCCTCCCGTCCCCTGAAGGAGACCCCTCTGGTCCTGTGCCTTTCTGGCTGAGGGGACAGACCACTTGTTGGACAGATTACTTCTTGGGCACTGGTTTGCAATGATTCAGCTCTCAGCACTTGGAATATTTATGACATTTAAAAATATTAAGAAATAAAATAGTCACAAGTATAACATAAATAAATTTAAATACAATAAACTCGTCTTGCTTCCAGCCAACTCAAACCATGAAATGAGAAACTCAGGGATTGTCTGCCTGAGGAAAAAGAGACTAAATAACCTTATACATACACAGAAGCCAAAAGACTTCTCTGTCCTAGGAAATGTCTCAAGGCGTAACCCTGTATGCCAAGAAAAGTTTTTTGCAGGTGGTTTCTTCTAATCTTCCTTAGGGCCCTTACACAGAAGTCCAGCACAGATGACCCAAGGGAAGGAAAGCATGCCTGCAAGCACCTCAGTGAGCAGCGCTGCACAAAGTTTGGCTGAAGATGAGCCTTTCCTAAGTACTGTCTCTAGGCATTGATGTCTGACAGCATTTCTGTGCTCTTCCTGTGTTCCCCACATTGGTGTCTTTCTCCTTATCTTGTGCTCAGTCTGCAAACTCCTCAGAGTGGTCATGGTGTCCTGGTTTATGCAGGCACAGCACCAAGCACCGTGGGATCCTGACCTGTGATTATGTTCTCCAGACACCATCCTAAGACCGGACAGTCAAATCTGCGGGTGTAGCATCACTAGGACCACATGCAAGCAAGAAAGCTACAGCATAACCTACGTATAACTTGAGTACTCATACTTTCAGAGGAAAAAGTACTTAAAAGATCTTCAGAGAGAGAAATTACACATAAAAATACATAACATTGTATCAGCAGATAAGAAAGCAGAACAGTAGAACCAATGTTGGGGGAAAAATACTTCTCAGGGACTGAGATATTGGTGTATAAAAGAATTTTCTAGGAGAGTAATGTAGGAGAGTAATGTAGCCTTCAGCTTTTGAGCTATTAATACTGTGTTGGACAAAAACATTTATAGCTAGCAGTAAAGAACAATCTTGTAGTGTCAAAACCAGAATGGATCATGCAGAATTTTCCCCCTCTGGAACTGATAAATGTAATCAGCTATCTCCTTTTTGCTTTTAGGTGCAATATGAATCGCATTCTTCAGAAATATTGTCCAAATAGTTCAGTAGTATTTTCAGCACAGAGGTTGACTGTTAATGGTTCACATTGACTAATCTATGTTCAAAAATAACATGAAATTCCTTTGGCTCTCCTTCTATTTAAGGAATACATTTTACACTGAAAAAAAAAAATAACAAATAAGAAATAACTATTCTTGCTTAACTAAACACTGGAACAGATTTTTCACCCTTATATCTGCAAAACTTGCAAGAATCACTGACATTTATATACGTACTCTTAAAGCACACTTTGGCTCATGGAAAGAATATCCTGATTCTTCATGTGACATCATTCAAACTTACACTTATTTTAAACACTAATTTCTAATTTCTATAATCATGGTTGTTTCCATCACAAAGCATTTAACAGGAAACATCTCAATAACGCAGTCAGATCAATAGGACATGGGAAAACAGTATGAAACTATGTATTTTCTGACTTGCATACTGACATTTGATTATTCCAGATTAAGTTTGCATAGTACATTCTTAAATACAGTTGAATATTTATTAAGGCCCTTTTAAAAATTGTAGTTTCAACAACTGACATGAACTATTTCACAGTTAGACTAGACAGGGTTAAGTTTACTCTTGAGCATAGCACAGAGCCTAAACCCTTTGATGTAAAAGCATAGAATTCTATGCTGCAGTCTACATTACTAGGTGTGTCATAGAATTATACTGTATTTGACCATTTTAAATTTACTGGCTTTAGCATTAAAATAAAAAATAAAATAAAATAAAATAAAATAAAATAAAATAAAATAAAATAAAATAAAATAAAATAAAATAAAACAAAATATAAAAAGAACACCTTTATTATTCTGAAAATTGAAAGCTTTTATTAGTAAAATACTTTCTTGCAGTGCTCAAGAGCTAGAGTTCAAGTTCAACAACCTGAACTAACAATCAAAGCTAAGAATGTTCTCACAAACACCCTAGGAAGTGGTTGGTGTGACTGTCTGAAAGGAACCTATTTATTAGAGTGAAACCTAAGCCAAATTTATTTTCTTCTCCAATGAAGAAAAAAAAATAAAAAATTCTTGCATCCCTTTCTCTCACTGCATAAAAGTGTGTAAATAAGTGCTCATCTCTTTATTTCGTGGAAGTTCTTTGTAGGTTCTTTGTGGGGTTCTTTGTAAGTGAGTTTCCCATTCTTATACAGAATTATGTAACATCCCCATTTGTTTCATGCAGCTGTTAGAATACCAAGTTCAATATTTATAATGTCAGAAAGAGTAGGAGGTATTGTCCGCTTCTAAATCAGGCTACTTGGTAGAAGTGACTTAAAATAAAACAGAAATACAAACCCTAGAAACTATCTTTGTGAAACCTGCAGAATTTCAAGGAGATTTCAGAGTAAAATGATTTTCTTTTTCCTATTATGCAATGTTTTAGAACAAAAAAAGAGGGGAAGGTTCTAAACCAGAAGCATATTCTCAGGAAAGGTGACTTCACACTACATCAATAAATATATTAAAATGTTGATTAAAATGATAGAATATCTTTGTTACATAAACTTTTGTATTTTTGAAGAAGGAATCTTGAAAAGAAAATAACTTTCATGCAACATATTTTTAAATAGCTAAAATGTAAGGTAAAAACAAAGGAATGTCGCATTACAGCTGCTACAATTATTAAGGCCAGCCTCTCTGCCACTTTGGTCCCATCAGGTAGTACCCAAATTCCTTAAGTAATCCCGCCGAATCCAATGGGAAAGCTCACAGAGTAAGGTACAACTGTTGTGATTAACAGTGGCAGAATCTGACCTTAAGGTCATTTTAATAAACATTCTGGTGACTTGCTATTTCCTAAGGACCCCTTTTCATAATACATTCCATAAAAAATAAGCTCTAGAAAGATACAGTTTCTTCTGCTCCAATATCCCGGACGTTTGGAAATCCTGATAAGAACAAAATGCTGCCTGCTTGTCACAGTGATGGAAATACCCAGCAGAACATCTGTACCCTGAGGATCACATAAATAGCAATGCTAAACTGTCCTCTGCAGTTAAACTCTTTCAGCTCTTTCTACTCTTTCAGCTGCTCTGACTTTTCCCCGCTGACAAAACAAGACCACAGGTCTGCCGTTGTCATCTTGGTTCACAGGTTAAAAGATTCTCTCCGTGGCCAGCAGACACTAGCACTAGAGAAAAAGGAATGATAAAAACCAAAAGTGAGGAAGATTTATTGTTTGGGTCATCATCATCCCAGGGCCAAATTATTCCCAACTGGATGTTCTTCGATATTTTGTCTAGTCTGTCTAAAGCCTCTACAGAAGAAGGAATATGGGCCAAGACTAAGCAAATTTGGCAAAACTGCTTGGAGAAACTGACATTCTTCCAGCTGCAAGCCAAAGAGCATTAGTCCATCACTTTTAAGAGCACAAAATCTACTGACATTTTAAGCACTAGATTCACTTCAGCTAACATCTGTCCTCAGCCTGCTTGCAGCGGCGCCAGGTCCACGAATGCCACGCATATCTTTAGAAGCAGAACTGTACTGGGGAGCAGCCACACAGACAGCAGAGCAGGATTTGCTCTTGTGTGCACTGACATGAAAGATTTATGTAAAGGCTTTAGAAAATCACAAGAGATATGTTTAGTCTTCAATATCAGGACATGCAAATACAAACTTAGCTGCAGAACAAGCTGCATGACTGCATTACCAAGGTATTAGCTGGTCTGGCAGACAGAGAAGCAATGCAGCTACAGCTGATACGAAGCTACTCTAAAGCAAGCAAATACTCACAGCACAGGGACTCATTTCCAGTTCATCATTGGAGGAAAGGATATGGCTGGTGACTTTTTGAGGTGGGCTTTGAACCACAAAATCTCACAGGATCTTCTGCCCTTGTGCTTCCTACTGTCAGCAGCTCCTGCAGCCAGGTACCAGGTACCCATGATGGGGGACACCTATAAATAAAGTCCCAAACATAACCATTCCCCTCCAGCACCTCTACAGATGTGTGTAAGACCAAATCCTGATTTTTTAAATTTGCTTCTGGTTATCAAGCTACATTTTGCCCAATTGCATAAGTTTAGGATTATAGAATGATAGAAGAGCCCAGGTTGGAAGGGACCTTGTAAGATCATCAGATCTAATCATTCATGGGAAAAGGGAGCCTAAAAAGAGATTATCTAGCACCCTGTAAAGTTTATATTCATGAGACAAAGAGAGTACAAAAATGTCAAACTATTAATTAAAATTTAATAGTCTATTAAATAGACAATTTAAAGTTCTAGTATACCGACAAAAAGTGTCTTTTGAAGTGTCATATCTTATGTACACCTAACTTGTTGACAGTATTTCAACAATAGAAAATACAAACATGGTCTTTTATCTCCCTGCATTGTCTTCTACCTGCTGTCTCTGGGCAGTGAGAAATACCATCTGTTTTATGGACTGACCTGTCTGGGTTAGAAGAAATGATAAAGGCACAAACCAACTAGTGCTCTCATTGAAAAAATGCTTCAGGTCTCAAGTGCAAACTGTAATATCCTACAGAGATTAATATAAGCATGCCAGGTTTATGGTTATTCATTATTAAGCTTCTGGGAAAATAGAACAATATATCCTGATAGCTTAAAATACATATTAGATCCTCTGAGTCACTGCTGATTATTCAGCCCATATTTCTGTCACCGTATTTCAAAATTACCTGAGAGCATTTTGAATTTGTAAAGTTACAGGAAAAAATGGCAAAAATAACACTTTCACCCTTAAACAGGACACTCAAATGCTGACTGTAATGGAGTTGCATCAAGAGAGCAGGCAGAAAATGGAAGGAAAGAGCACGAGGTAGCTAACAATAACTTCAAGCTGGCCCTCCAAGGTCAGCTACCTAACCATGTCCTCAACATTGTATGGATTGTATTTCTCGCAATGGGACATAAAAGCCCATCGTGTTCTGCTCAAGTGAATAATTTGCTCTGGTCACAGGACTGAGGAGCCAAACATTTCTAGCAAACGTGAATACTTAAAGCCCTGTTTTAAAGTCTGTGCTTACATTGGCCTGGGGAGGAGTAACCTGGGCTGCTGCATTTAAAGCATAAGTGGATTTCTCCATCAGAAGGGAGGAAAAGGCAACATAATTAGCCAGCTCTTCTTTTGCCTTTCAAAGCTGTTTGTCATGGTGGGGAGGTAGGTGAGCGTGCGTGGTGGCCCAGCTGGGGCCTGGCGCTGCTGTGGTAGGTACTGAAAGCAGTGCTGGGGAGCCCATACTTCCAGCAGGTGAGGCAAACGACAATGAGTGTGTAAGGGGAAATGTGCAATGAGAAATAACAAGGCATAGGTAGGCCACGGCAGGCTGGTAAGTGAAAAGGTAAATACTTTATCGCCTTTGTTTTACACTCTCCGAGGTCGTTTTAAACTCCCTGAGGTCTCACCTCCCCTAGCCTATCCTCCCTGCTTCTTGAGGTAGATGAGCTGAGCAACTACTTCATTTACCATTTGCCACAGCTCCCATCGGGAGGATGTGGCCCGTATCCCCTGGCTCTGGTCTCCCTGGGATTCATGCTGCTTTCACAGCCCTGAGCCTCTCTGCTCCTGAAGGCAGATCTCCCAAGAAAGGCTGTGTTTCACATGCAACCTTCAGGCTGCCAGAACAATAAGTACACCACAGGTTTCCTGCTTCGTGTATGTGAACGATTAACCACCACACCTTTACATTTATAATTCAGCAATTCCAGTGGGGAAAAAAAAAATAAATACCAAAACTGTGTTAAATAAACAGCCATGCTCTGAAGTTAATGGGGTGAATCCATTTTTATATAGCTGTATCTAAGGCTACAATTTGATCCCAGCACCACCTTGAGCTTAAATACAACCTCGAGGTTGGACCTACTGTTAGCAAAAGGCTGGGAGGAGCAGACCTTGCTGACTGGAAGTCTCCCCGCAGCCTGCCCCAATCCTCAGGAGATCCTACAGAAAGCTAGCTTTATGAGCAGCTCTCCTTCAACCAATGCTCAACCCTTCTGAGCAGGTATTTGGTAGGACCTCTTCACTGCTGCTGATGTGCTACCATTTAAAGAGAAACATAAATAAATAAATAAATAAATAAATAAATTTAAAAGGAAACAAAGAAAAAGCACCCCCGGTTTTAGTTTCTCACAGTTTCAGCCTGGAAATTGCACAGGGGCTAACGAGTGAGCCCCGGCCCCCCTCCATCCTCAGCCAGATCAGCATACAGCATTCCACCCTATGTTTACAGCTGGGGAGAAATTGAATTACCTACATAGTATTATTTTAGTATAAACGAACAGGAAGACTTCACCAAAATTGATGACCCAGCGGGTGTTGCCCCTCCCTGACTGTACTGTATACGCAGAGCTTTCTAGACTCCAATTTATTGGTTTGTCAGAAACTTCAGTTATTTTCATCAAGTTGAGTTTTACATTAAACATTCCTCCCCTTAATTGGAACCATGCGGATACATTTGGGCAGCATCCATATTCCTGCTCAAATAAAAGGGGTACTTTGTTACAAATTCAGCATACTTTGCTGTTAAATTATATTTTGCTAGCAATTACAATTAAATATGAAGTTCACACTTAATAGCAAACCTTGTAATCACGTGGGAGTAGTTCTCCTTCCATGAACATCATGCGTGGGTGGGAGAAGGGAGAGCTCTGCAGCCTCATTTTAATAATGAAATAAACAGTTCTGCTGGTGAGTAATTCAGGGATTTTAAAACAGGGCAGTGGCAGGATGGAAGTTGTTTAAGAAGCTTATTTAACCCTCTCACCTGCTACTTCTAGCTCTCTCAAGAGTTACCCACCCAACTGCAGGCAGACCGAACGATTTCAGAAGGCATCTTTGAGCTGGGGCAGGGTGCTGTGTCACACCTGGTTTTATTCTTGCTTTTAGTCCCCATGTGAAAATTGCTGAGCATAACAAAGTCATACATGCAGAAAGCTTTTAAAATCCTCTTTTTTTCCCCCCTTGACTTCCGAGTTATAATAACAACAGTTCTTTAAATTATGCTGCTTCTCTGGCATTTGTCTTGGAAAACAGGTAATGTTGTTCTGCAAATTGAGATTTCATTTTAAATTTCATTTGTGGTTTTATGCTTTTGTGCTTGTTCCCATTAGCCACAAGTGCGCTTGTTTGGAAGGATATCAGGGGGTTTCATTAGAAGAGGAAGAGGAGACATTTTGCTATCGTCAGTTCAAAGCTGGTCCTTTTGACTCTAAAAGCAGAATGTGAGGTGTTACAGCTATTACATGTTGTGGTGATGTTTCCACTAGCCTGAATCACATTTCTACTGACACGTCATGAAATTACTGAATACAAATACAACAAAAGATACAACATATAATACTTAATATAGAAAAATACAAAAGTATAATAGCGTACAATTAAAAATATATAATTAAATATACTTGCAAAAATATAATACAGGAAAACCTGTAAAAATTCTGAGTTTTTTTCAAGGGGGAAAGAGGAAGTGGGGGAGAAGCATTCCGTTTGGATATTTGCGTGAGGAAAACTTGTGAAAGACTCTAGGGGACAAGCTCTCAGGAGGCACCAGAATGAAATCTGTAAACTCTGCTTTACTAAAGCAAAGAAAACCCAATATTAACCTGATGAAAGTACCTCCTCTCAGCTCCAGCTGATTTCCTAGTCTTTGCTCTTAAAATCTCTTGCCATCTTGCAAAGGAACCTCATTTCCATGCTATTTGGAAGCAGCTGGAATTTATCCTCCACGTCAAGCTGACTCTGCCCAGCTACTGCCACCCATTGCTCTGAGGAACTAAACCCACACACAGGCTGTTCTCACTGCAGAGCCCATCTCTGGGTGGCTCACTCCGTGGAGTGAACTGCTGGACCCTCATGGTCATCCACAGAGCTGATGTCCCTCCTGTGGTCCTGGGCCAACCACTGTCACAGGGTACATGGCTTCTGCTGCTAGCCCTCCTCCTTGCCTGGGCAGCCATTACCCTTGGAAATATCATAAATATTGGCAAGTCCATCTATTTTAATTATTTCACAGTGTGTGTTGGAAGTACTAAAGATTCCTTTAAATATTTTGAGGGTTCCCAAACTAGGTCCAACTCAGAAAACACTTTTACTTGTGACAGTTGAACTCCATGTTCCTCTCATCACTCTGCTTTCCAGTTGTAATTTCATTTCAAGCCAGGAAAAAAAGATTTTCTTTACACTGGGGCTTTTCTAAAAAGATGACAAACATGACTGCATAGACAGCAAATCAAACTTTGGGATTTATGCTGTTGGATTTGTTTTGAAATTTTACAAAATAATGACTCTTAATACATCCTAGAAGTAGCACCGCTCTGTTAGGAAGTCCTGATGGGTCCCAAAGGACTTCCCTGGCTGGTGTTTCTCGTGGTTTATTTCACAGAGATTCTTAGTGCCGTGCTCCAGCTCACACTTTCTCCGGAGATGGCCAGATTTCCCTGAGGCAGACAACATGAGAAAATTGCAGCTGAGGAGACATAACCAGAAACATGCTACTGAGCCTGAAGCACTGTATTCTTTCCAGAGCTTGAATCAAGTCCCCATCATCCTGTAAATATGCCTGAAAAGGTACTATGCAACAGGCCACATCCTGCACTGAAAATGACTCTGCTTTGCACCGGTGGATTACTTCTGCTCTTTAAACAAGTCCCCTTCAACAACACATATTCTCATCTGTGCATTTTTAATAGAAGCATAATTTTTGTCGTATGTTATAATGAATAGCATACAACTGAGCAGTGCGCATAAGACTGTAATTCCATCTGGGAGTTTGTTGACATTGATAAACCACTCAGGTTTTGCTTTTGTGGCTCATGCCATTACAGCAGCTCAACAGGATTACAGTCCTGTTATGTACAGTTGGTCGTAGACATTATACCGTATGAAAATGACTGTATATTTTATTAAAGAAAAGGTTTGAATTTAAGTATGAAACTGAAAATTCTCATCAACGGTCTGATAATATGGAGTTAAAAATGATCTTTATATTATTAGCTGAGCGCCTTGTTTATTTTATTTAAGATTCCTCATCCTAGGCAATGAAAATAGTTTAGTTGGATTTAACTATATCTATACTGAGGGACTGAAGAATTTCCCTTGTAATTTTGTGGCATCACTACTTTTATGGTATATGAAAACCAGAACATTGAACTGCCCATAAAGGAAAGTGAACCAGACAAGTCTAGTAATTTCATAGTCTAAACTGAGTTAAACAGATACACACAAAAGCAGATAAACAATGAAAACTGTGGTTTCACTTTTTTTTTTTTTTCATTCTAAATGTTAACTGTGATAGCAGTGGTACTCCCAGGGATTGTTTAAAATATGAAATAAAATTTTCCTTGAATTTGACTATAATTAATAGATCAACTGTGTGTCCATTTCCCTCAAAATGAAGCTTATGTTAAGACACATTTCCCTCATGTCTGCTTTTAAAGCCATGAAACCCCTGTGATCAGGTGCTTTAATTCTTCTGCACTTTTTTCCCAGTTTGGATGGATTTAAAAAACAAAAATAGGTCACATGGCCTGGTTTCCAGCATGGCCTCACTCCACTTATTACCATCTAGTTCACAGTGATGGCATTGATGAGTCCTGCAAGGTCCAGGTTGTTCTAAACCAGATAGAAGGGTGATATTTCTGCTAAGAACTTTTCTGTTTGTATGAGCCATTGCAAAGGCCTTCATCCCCATCCCACCAGTGATTTCACGGAGCTACTGCTCACCTCGCACCAGCATGCCAGATTCAGATGACCCGATGCTGCTCCCCCTGCTCAGCTGCAGCCTCTCCAGCGTGTTGGGTGAGGGCAGGGGACTTGCAGCACCCCGTTCAGCGAGATGAGGGGAAGAAACCAGAGGGCCAGGTCAGTGGAAGCTCTTCCACCTGAATCTATGTGCTCTGGATCGCACACTGGAGGCTCTGCAGGTGGTACAAAGCTTCCAGACAGAGAGAACATTCAACAAGTGTCTGCTTTATAGGACAAGCTCCTATTTAAAGTATTAGGAGACTTTGGGGTAAACTTGCCAATTTATCCCAATTCCATGTAGCTTCAGACTCCACTCTGGACTAGAAAACCTGAATCCTATCTTTCATTCTAACAGTGCTCCCACACCATGGATAGGGCCTTCTCTGTAGTATGAAGTATTCGCAGATCTCATTTTCACTACAAACTCTTCTAGTGGAGATGTGGTGTATATCGGCAGGAGACTTTTGCTAGCAGTGTTTATAGCAGCTACCCAAATGACATAAGTTGTACCTCTCAGTAGAGCTTTTCCTGTTATAAGAACATTAACCAGAACTGCCGATCTAATTAGTGGTATGTTTCTTTTCTTCTCTCCCCATGCTCTTAGCTGACAAAGCTGTATATGCAAAATGTTTGAATGCAGACAGACCTACTACTTCTGGGGAAGCCGCACAATGGCCAGTAAATGATTCCAGCATTGATGGGGGAGCGGCGGGGGCTGAAGTGATACAGCAGTGATGTGTGATGAAGCAGCCTTCTGATGGATCCTGGGCAATGGCCAACAGTAACACAAAAAAAATCTGGGGTGGGATTTAGGGTTGCAGGTTGCTCTTACAGAAGTCCTCCAGACCAAGGTAAAAGGAAACAGAAGACAACCACCAATGAAGTGAGCTTCTTAGTGATTTAAGGCGCTTAAATTCTCTCATTCAACATGTGTACTAAACTCTCAGTCTTAAAATATCACAACAATTAGAAAAACTTCAGGATGTCTCCTTCCCACTCAATGCTGTCTTCGTCATCCAGATACATCTCCTCACTTGACTAACCAACACAGATTTTCCTTCTGGTAACATCCTACAATTACAATGACTCCTGGGAGAGGAAGATGGAAAGACCCTAAGACATGGCTGCATGCTTCTGTCTTGCGCATCACAGAATCCCCGAGTCAGGCTGGAAGAGACCTTCCAGATCATCAAGTCCAACTGTCGACTTAGTGAGTCCCATCACTAAACCATTTCTACAACAATTATTTCCACTTATTATTCCTATACTAACCATAATCAAACTTTTCCACTCTTAAAGAATGTGAGGACAGCATGGAGCTTCCTGCCTAGCAAATGTTGAAGCTTGCATGTCCACTCAGCCTCAGTTTTACACTGCTGTCTTCCATTTACTAAATTAACTATTTACTAAAGGCTGCAGTTGTTACAACTTCTTGTTCCAGAGGTCCCTTTCCCACAAGGTTACCTGTCGGCATCAATAATAACATTGTCAGCCAAGTAATTAAGTCATCCTCATTACTAATGCAACACAGAAAGAACACAACTTGATTCCAGGCAGAATCTGCAAGACTGTCAGTTTTAAAACATGTTGCTTAAAGTAGGCAAATTTGATCTGGAGTCATTGAAAGAATAAATTTGGAAGACTACCAGGTCATTTCTACAGAATCCCTTTCGTAAATGTAATTGTGCTTTAATAGAATTTACACTACATACACACATAAACAAGAGAAAATTAGTATATATCAGTTATGATAATGTTTTCTGCTGAGCACTGAAAAATTACTGGAAAACCACTTAATAATGGTCATGTTTTATAATACTGTCAGCTGAGTGATTTCCTGCTCTAAGGAAAGGCACAGCCCTGCTGTGAATTTCACTGGGTTGCACTCTGGGACTGTTCCTATGTGTACAAGTGTTCTTAGTAGTTATCTTGGTTGTGATTGCATAAACTGAAGTTCAGAACTGACCCTTTGCTCTGACAAAAGCCAGAGAAAGAAGATAGTTTTGGTACTACTGGAAGACAAATGAAAGATTTTTGGTATTCATTTTTGAAGCTTTGGTTTTATCCGAGGATGACAGTGTGTGTAACCTTGTAAATACACCACTGGTAAACCATTTCAAGTAACACCATGAGGATTAGGGAGATATGAACCCTTTTAAGACTATTTCAGACATTTAAGAAAATCTTTGCAGCCCAAGTCTAGGGGCAGTGAACAGAGTATGAGAGGACCTACTTTCTCTAACCTCAGCTCTGCCAGTTGTACAGGGTGTTTTATCTCCTTGGATCTTACTATTGTCTGTTTTTCCTTCTTCTTTTCCTACTTACATTTCAGCATCTCTACCACAGCTAATTCAGTAATGCTCCAAGCTTTATGTACAGCACCACTGCTGTAATACAGCTCCTAATAGTTTGTTTACCTCAAGACTGACAAATGGGACACTCCAGAACAAATTAATCAGTAAGCACATTAAGACTGTGTAACTCATACAGAAGGGCAGAGTTATTCCATAGGCACTTCTACCAGAATTTCTGGGAGATTTAGGGCTGGCATGGCCAAGCACATCTAGAAGGGGCTGGCAGATGAAAGAGGTACAGCCACACAACAAGCCCCCTCTTTCCCCACTCCCATTAGTTCCTTTATGGGGCTCACCATTTAGATCAGAGCTGCAACTACCCCCCTACAACACAGATCTCAGCACCGATCTGGGGTATCTCAGTTGCTGAATTATTTTGACCCCCACCATCCAGATGAACCATCCCTGTCAAACTGCCTTGTTTTTTTTTGCTGTACTGCATTTTGGCTCCCTGGCTCTCCTCTAACACAATTAAGAGTGCCAAACCAGCGCAAAACCCAGCTTTGTCTAACTTTTAGGTCACAGTGGAGCTTGGAGACATTTAGTGGGCTTTTTTAAGAAAGCCTTATGCAGTTTGAAGATGGATAATAAATAATGAGAGATATTGTTCCCCAAACATACTGGGGGAAAAAAAAAAAAAAAAAAAAAAGAAAAAAAAAAAAAGGAGACATTATCGTAAGAGTTAAGATCTGATCTGTTCTGCATTTTGTAGGGCCATTTTGCTTCCTAAATTCAGTGAAAGCAGCACTGTGCATTTTTTTTTTCTACAGAAATATGCATTTGTGGTTTTGCCCATGTTACATAAAGCAAGGCTTCGGCTCCAAGGCCTAGTAGCTGTCTTGTACAAAAGGTGGGCACACAGTTCTGGTTCCTTCTAACAAAATGGGGTGAAACGGCATGTCCTGTATGTCTTTCCAAGATTTCAGAGGGAAGGAAAACATTACTTTTTTAAATATACCATCCTGAATGAAGGTGCTGTGGCAGAGGTGACAAGGATCTTCTACTGTATTAGAACTCTCCATCACTAATCATTTTCTTCCTAGGACTAATGAATCTTGAAGCCAGATTTAAGAGTCTGCATATCACCTTCCACCAAAAACAGTGAGGATGAAGGGCCCAGCCGTCTACCTGTACTTGCTCCATCTTGCTTTAAAAGCAGGGTTAGTTGAAATGTGTGCTTACATTTGCTGGGATTTGTTTAACTGACTCCTCATAACCTACTTTCCACGTGGGTTTGCAGTCTCACAGGTTGCAACTTGAGTTCTACTGAGCGCAAAACTGCAACTTTGAAGAGTTTTTAGGTGGTTGTGGTCAGGGTAAAGTGGCTATTTGGTGCTGTGTGCTCTGTTTTTAAGCTCTGACCCTGCCTTTGATCTGCTTCCAATGCCTTCCCTCACATACAGTCCACTAACAGAGCACAATGTGCTTCTTTCTGTGAGAATTTGTGTTGTTGTTTTTTGTGTGTTTGTTGTTTTTTTTTTTTTTTAATGGTTGGTTTGGTTTAGGTTTTTGTTTGTTTTTAGGTGAGAGATTCTCCCCATTCTCAACAAATCTGAAGTGTTTAGTATTAGTGGCAACAATTTAGTATTAGTGGTGACTACTCTGACTCCAGCAGGAAACACATGAAATAAAAAAAAAAAAAGGCTACCTAACTGAGGCTTTTTCATATTAAAGCAGGGCTCCTTAAATGGTGAATCCTGCTCTGGCTTCAGCTAGCTTTGTTCACAGCATAACAAGAGCCTGTGCACCAAAGGTACAAGGCAGATGTTTGAGTTAGTCATCAGAAGCTTCCTTCACGGTTCCCGAGACATAGGCGCTTCAGTTCACCCACCATTTTAAATAGCTACTTTAAGATGAGACTGAATGATCACATTTTTACTTTTTTTTTTCCACTGAGAGTAAAGAGTGACATGGGTGATAACTGTACTTGCAGGTACATAGCTTTGCTAAACCAGCCTTGAAGTCATAAGCAGAGACAAGAGGGGAGAGATCGGGCCACTTACCAGAGGAAAGGGAAAACCAATTTCACCATTAAGTCCCATGGTCTGCTTCAGCATTTTACTTTAGAGTCACTAAAGAACAAAAGCAAAGACCCAAGAGTTTACTTGGGCATCAAGGAGTAAATTTCTTTCCCCCAGTCCCAGATCAGGATTGCATCCATTAAACTACAGATCAAGATCTCTCCTGCCCCAGGATGTCACCATTCCTGGCTGCACAGGTCTACCTGCAGCGGGGCAGGGGTAGGGACACTCCCTCCACACAGAGACTGAGAGGGTTGGGTAACTTTGTAAAAAAGATAAGTAAAAACTGCTGTTAAAGAAACTTCCTAACACAGGAAACAGCTAATAAAATGAACATTCATTTGCTAGAATAAAATTTACCCAGTAAAGTAATGTACAATTAAAAATTCTTAAGCACTTTTTAAGTACAAATGAGTGTGGAACTCTGTCATCATTATTATTAAAGTCAAGAAATATATGTGTAGAGATAACACAAATATCTACAAGTACATTACCTCTCCCTGTAGGGAAACTGCCATCCTCTTGGAGTGTGTATATGTACACATGCATACTTGTATGTGTGTGAATAAAGGCAGAGCTGGATTGAGGAAAGGAAACAATTATATTTGTCCAGTCTCTCTGGGAAACAGAAATTCAGATTATAATGTATTTTTCCTTAAATAAACAAACTACAAGTTGCAAAATAACAATGTAGAAAATTCACCTTTTTATCAGCACAGATTTCTGAAGTACTAGACTAAAATACATTTTATAAGATGATGAATTTGTAAATGTTTTCAAGAGTAAAACAAATATCATCTTAACCTCATGCTTCTTTTTTTTTAACTATAGCTATGATTAAGAGAACACATTAATCTAACTGCTTGGTGCAAGTGGTAGTTGCTGTCTTGATTTAATGCATACAACAAATTAGCTCATGTTTAAAGCTGTAAGGATTTGTTTGGGCTTCTCATAGTCTGTTTGCCTTAATGTTATCCTACCATGCTATCTTCTAAGTACGGGAAGTTTACTTGGAAATGTTTATTTATTTTTTTCAGTTGACCACAATTCCTTGAGATAATTGTTTTAGCATTGCCTTTATGGCTGGGCTGTTTCAAATCTATATAGCATACCAAAATTATCTTGTGAGAACCTGCTGAATTCTTGTTAGTTTTCTCCCAGGATCCGACACTTTAAAAATGCTTTTTGTCTTTCAGCTTTTTAAAATGCTGTTCTTTTCATCCCTGAGGTCATTTTCTGACAATAAGAGCTAGTGGGCTTCTAAGCCCTCTACTCAAAGCAGCTTCAAGGCATTTCCCTCCACCTCAGTTCTTTGTTTGATGAGTTTGCTCATGTCTACCCATGTCATTTTCACCAAGGTTCAGCACAGAATTTCAGTAACGATTGCTCAACAACTAGCCAGCAGTGGACTCCAGGTCTTCCAGGCCACTCAGATGCTGCAAACTGCCTTCAGACTGGGGAACCACTGCAGCCAGAAAGAGTCAGTCCCTCAGAAGCTGAAGAGTACAAGGGACCACTGCGACTTCCTATAGGAACTACAGAGACATTGCAAGGATGAGAATTGGGTAGGTCTGAACAAAATTAATTCATGATCCAGTTACAAATCAACTCACCACCTGCATAAAGCTGTTTTAGGAAAAGAATGTCAGCACACACTGACAGTCTCCAAGCCCAAATATTACAGCAGTCACACCACAAAAATCTATCTCTAGGTGGCACATCACATGACCATCAAAATACAGAATACCAATAAGTCATTTGTATTTTGGGGGACTCTTCACCAAGTATTCCCCAGGTTAAACTTCTCTTCCATTGTTACTGAGAGACTGTGGCTTTGTGTAGAGGCCTATCCAGGACAAGGATCCATGACACATATACTTATCATGAAACAGCCTATGACCTGAAGAGCTTCCAGGCTAGGCAGATGTAGCACTCAGCAGGAAAAAAAAAAAAAAAAAAAAAGCCATGTTACCTCCAGTCTGAGGTTGGTGAGCTGATGGACAGATTTGCTCTAGGTTTCACAGTAATCACTGGCAGAACTGGGAAACAATCCAAGGCCAGCATCGTAACTATTAAACCATGCTTGCTCTCCTGGCATGGAGAGAAACAGAAACATGCCAGAGATGGAAAGCAAACGCCAAGTAGTAGAATGGGCCCCTAAAGTATTTTGTTCCCTGGAGAGAGATTAAAGTCTTGCAGTACATATAAACACCTGCCTAATGATGACAGAATTGAATTTATTGCTTCATGCAACAAAAATGCCTCAGAAATAAGATACTAGACTTACTATTGAGATCATCCAAAATGTACCACGTGTTGTAGTTATCACAAACTTCAGGTGATCAGCCTAAAACATCTGCAGCACATGTACTATCTGGTGAACACCAAGGCACAGCTCATAGAAACTCTGCCTGGGACCCTCCAGAGATTGTAAAGTAGCTGAGACATGATAGACTCGAAAGAACACCTCACTTCATGAACCTCCACCACTACCCCAGCACAGCAGCTCCAGCGGAAGCACTGCCAAATGCCTAAACTACACACCCTCTTCTTCAGCTTATCATGCTCGTCGCTTAGTGAAAACACATTGCTGAGGCTGGGATAATAAGTTTGAACAGAGACCTTAACACAGAACTGCTGCACCCTTTCCTTTGGGAGTTAGCAGTCTTCCACAAGCACTTAAACCATAAAGTATTTCTAAAAGAAGAATACTGGGCTTCAAAAATGTTAATCAAATTCAACATTTTAAACAAACAAATCTTTGTAATCCTTCCTGATACATCCACATGGTCAAAAAACAAAGCAGCTATAACATAACCAGCATCTGTTGGAGTAAGTAGTATCAGATTATAGGCTGCCCATACAAAACAGCTTACCAGCTTTACTGTGTTCACAGTTGGTATGGGTAAGGGCAATTTCCATTAAAATGTCTACCAAATTTGACAGTGATGTGAAAGGTGAAGTATTATAATTAATATTTTGGCTGTAAAATCATTAAAAACACAGTACAAATGGCAAAACAATCTACACTGTAATCATCTGATATTGTTGGATTTCTTTTCTCTTCTGAAAAAAAAAAATGTTTTCATGGCTTTTTATTGTTAGAAGATGTAATCAAGATGGTCACTCTTGACTGAAGAGAGTTAATCATGCAGGTTGAGGAGGAACCATATTTGCAGATCGTAAATTAGGTGAAAAGGATCCATATTTATTTATTTTCATTTCTCCTCCTCTGGGCAAAAATCCCTATTTTATTATCTGAAGCAACTGGCAAATATTTCAAAATACAGTCCTTACAAATTACAAATTTAACTTCACTCCTTAGATCGCAAGCCAACAACAGCTAAGTGAAAAGAAAAAAACAAATAAATCTTTGCCCCCACTCACCCTTTCACCACCTTCAAAATTCTGTTCCTCTCAGAAAAACCTAAGAGAACGGGTGAACTTTGCAGTATGCCAGCTAAGTCAATGTGCATGGGCTATTTTAGATCAAAGGGAGAAATGCCTTCTGAAGTGCCAAGAGCTCCCTCACTATTACACCAAAAAAGTGCCAGCTCACCTTTTCTGATGGCTGAAATACTGTGGGGAGAGATGAGCCTGTCTAATATAGGCAGGCCTGGGTCATTAGAGATCCTATAGAGCAGCAGCAGAAATGACTTAAAGCTCCTTTTGGAAGCAACCCGTCCTGGTGCACAAAGGCAATATTCTTGCAGGGCAACAGACAGCATGTGCCAAATTCAACCCTGCAGCAACATCAGTTTCTGAGCTGGATTGACAACTGGTTCCAAGTGAAGTGCATCACAGTTATGTAATTCCCAAGATGGCAAAGTCCACTGCAAGACCTGAGCAACCTCAGCGGTCAAAAAGCTTAAAAGCATTTTAATCTGATCACCTACAAACATGTAGAAAGTAAACTGGATCAGGTACATTCTCAGTTCTAGTCTTCTCAAAGTAACAGTAAAAGTGCTTGCTGCTTCCTTCACTTCAGTGACTACTACCCTGAAAAACCTACAGCCCCTGTTAGTCTTCATTTTTGAGCCAGATGCTAATGAAGCAGGTTCCTGAAAAAGTCTAGTAAAAACATTCTAGCCACCCAAACTTCTTGACTTCCAGAGGACTGAAGTAGCCACCCCTCTTTGCTTGTTCTCTGGAAGTGCTATTAAATCTTTTTGTAACCTTTAATGGCTGTGATGGTGGAGCAAGAGACTTTGGCACCTATCTGTTTTTTTTTTAGTATTCCTAGGAGCATGTCTGCCATATCCTTTCCTATCAGGAATGCCCCACAGGATGAGGCCAATGATCCACTCGCCCCGTTTTGTCTCACACAGTGGTTGTTTCAGAAGTTGCTCAGGGAGAGCAGACAGAACAAGACTATCTGAGGTCTAATCTTCATACTCCTCCTGCTGTTAGATTAGGGACATCATAAGTAACATCCCTACCTATTCCCAAAAGTATCTGATTTGCACCTTTTATCTGTTAATTTGTCTAATACATTTTGAATTTCTTGATATGTGTTGACTTCATAATTTCTTGCAACAGTAAGTTGCACAAGTTTACCAAATGCTTTGAAGAAAGACACTTTTTAAAAACCCATTTTAAACTGTCTCCTATCACTTTCAATTTACATCCCCAAAATGGTATATGACCTGGTACATAAGTTTAGCACTCATCTTCTGCACTGCCTTCTTGATTTAGTAAATCAACCCCAACCCTGTTCAACCTTACTCTCCAAACTGAAGTGAGAGCATATGCCTGCTGTCACATCCCCTTAATAACTTTAGATGTCCCTATCCATAGTTGCTTCTTTTTCTTTTTTTTTTTTCCTCATGTCTTTATTACACTCTTCTCAAAGTGTGGAGATCAACTACATGCAGCACTCAAGATGTGGGTGTACAAAGATTTTCTACAGTGGCAAAACAATGTCTTTGGTTGTGTTCTCAGTACCCTCCTGATATGGGTAATTTTGGCTGCAGCTGAACATTGAGCCAATGATGACAAAAGAGCTGCTAACTCAGCATGGCTTGGATTATTCTAAATAACCACAAAGTTGTTTTGGAGACACCCAAATTAAGTCCAGACAAGTGACTAGACTAACACAACATGGGATAATACTATGCAGAGATACATGCTTAAGCCCTGGAAGATAACTCCATTAATGGAGTTCACAGACTCCTAGATTTACAGTACTACACTCAACTAGGTTGTCTACAATTACAGTGCATTGGATAAAAAGAACAGTTCAACAGTCTCCCCCATACTTCTGAAATGTTTTCAGAATGACACCTCTTTTTTGAGTAGCTCTCCCCTCTACTTCCAAGACAGCCAGAGCACTGTATGCACTGTGAACATCTCAATTATCAGTAAAAATCAGTGACTAACAAATTCTCCCCAATTTAAAACTTGTTTTCAATCACTGAGAAAATTTACCAGTACTCCATATGAAGGCCAACGCATAGCTGTTATGTGACAGCAGAGAATGAGAAGTATG